CAGCGCAAAGCCACGGACGTGGGCACGGAAGCATTTCTATTTTGAGCTCCCACATACGCAATAGCTCGAAGGGAAGGAGAATGGAAAGTGGGGGGGAGCACACGCTGAGTCCTAACAGCATCATCTGACGGGATCAGGCAGCGGCGCGCAGCCGGCGGGTCAGGAGGATGCGGGGCTCTGGCGTCATTGCCTCCTTTTAAAGCAGCGAAGTCATTCCGGAGGGTTATGCAACGTTCTGACGTCACCAGACTCAGTGCCACCCTCTCCAAAAGGCAGCTGCCGTCAGAGAGCCTGCGAGGGGGCAAGGAGACACGGGCACCTTCCACCTGAGCTTCTCCTGCTGAGGGCGAGCAGAGGAGATGGGGCAGAGACAGCAGCTGGCACAAAGCTCTGTGCTGAGCGCACGGCTTCCTTCCTCCTGGCTGAGAGCTCACAGGGCTGGGAGACAGACAGCAATGGGAACCCTGCTCCCAACGAAGCAAAGCTCCCAGGGAAGCCAGTGGAACTTTGCCTTCCTGGGACAGGAAACCTTCCCTGCGGTTTCAGCGTAACCTCTCTGCATTACTCAACAGCTGGGATTGCTAAAATGGCAAATGGCAGTATCCAGCCCCTTTTCACCTTTGATATCAATTACATCTTTTGTATTTTATTCAGCTGGATTGTGGAAGCACAGAGGACAGTCAGCTCCTAACTTTCTCTCTCTTAGGAAATTAACCTAACTCTCAAATGCAAGGCTTGCAGAGGCAGAGAATGCACACTTAGCAAACGCAAAGCAACTTCAAAGGTCCTCCTGCCCCTTCCAAGGAGTGAGAAAGTATTAGAAAAAAGCTTCGTTTTAGTTACAGCAAGTCACTGGAGAAATGCATGGAGCACCTGCAGCCAGAGGCACGTGTGCTGCCATAGGGCTGCTCCATGGGCTACACACCCTTATGATGAAACATTCAAATGTTCTCATCCAGAAGAACCACTGATAAGGTAATGCAGTTTCTGATAACAATTCCATAAGGCTCAGAACCACACCAGGATGTTAGTTCACAAGTCGATTCTTTTGCACGTGGCAATTACTTCTGTACCTCTTTGGGATTGCACACACCTCCCCTGTGCATCCAGCCACTAATTCAGCACACAGCCTGCAAGAAGTCACTGTCAGCACTAAAATCTCCCTGGTTGTTTAAAAACAAAGCGCACACGGACATTCAGTTTGGTTTCTCAGATCAGGGCCAAGCAATGTTACTGTTGAGGTTTGGTTCCCCAAAACAGAAACTTCCAGCTTCCTTACAAATAGCTGTGGGCAGATTCCAGAAGGAGTGCATCCAGTCAAGGGTAACCAAAATGAAGGAATCGAGATAGGGAAGTCCATCAGGAAGGAAAAAAATGGAATGACATCAGCCATCACTCCCCTCAGTACCCAACTGGTCATTTGCCAATTAGACTACAGGATCCATACCTAGGGGTACCCATCGTTGGCATATGTACACACAGTGTTTAAGATTCAATTCCTTAAGGTAATTTTCCAGATCACAGAACGGCTTGGGCTGGAAAGGAACCAGTGTTTCCCAGCAGAACATGTTGTGCAGTCAAGGCAAAAAGAATTCAAGTTGCTGGGACTTGTTTCCATTTACTCGTATAAAAATACCATCAAATTCATGCAAAATTACAAGTATGTTACATTCTAGTTGTAGCTCCTTTTCTTTTTTTCCACCTGCAGTGCAATTGTATCCCTTCCTGCACACACCATGACTAGGAGCTCCAAAGCACCACAAAGGAACATCATGCTCAACAAAATCCATTTTTGCTGTAATTTTATGCAGATGCTTTTACTCCTCAACCACCAAGCAGAAATTCCAAGCACGGCAGCAGCCTTTTAATCAGAAAGGCATTCCTTTTGCAGGAGCCCAAGGAAAGCAAAGACCTTTACAAACCTGCCTCACCAGTGGCTGTCTCTCAAGTGAAGTATTCCTTCTTTGGCATCTTGGGAAACCCAAAACTATGACTATCAAGTGGCATGCCCAAGTTCAAACAGAAAGCAGACACAGAAGGGCATTCTGGAGCACATTCCACGAATAAGAGGTGACTCTATCTGAAGCTATGACATTATTCAATGTGACAGGTAGAGCTGAGTGGTTTTAAGGGGTTTGAATGAGGGTCTTTCTTTCCCCTTCACCAACCTTCCATGGGGATCCAGTCCCTCTGGTCTCCTCTCAAGAGGAGATGCCAGTGCCTTCACCCTCCAAAGAGGCTGGAGTGCACTCTATACCAGCACGAATTGTCTCTCTCCTTCCTCCCCCTCTTCATGTCCCCAGGCAGGGCAGTACATTTTGCACCAGCCCTTCAGCAAAGAGGGAAGAGGTGATTCTTCTGAGGTGGGAAGGAATGCAGACTGCCTCCACCTCCTCCTGCCCTCTGTTGGTCAAATGTAGGTGCCACAGAGCCAGCACGTTCCCAGGCCTGGGGAAAGGAAGAGGGCATGGGACAGGATGGGACAGGCACAGCAGGCAACATAGGCAGGAGACAAAGCTAATGGTGTGAATATTGTAATATCCCAGTTGGAGCATCTAGTATTATTTGGTGCTGCCTGTCTGGTATATCTGTATATTAAAAACTGCAGTAATAGGATGACACTGGAAAGCTGTCTATTGCTGTACTCCAGGAGCACTGATATCAATCCCCATCTGCTGCACCACACACCTTGCAATGCAAACACAACCAGAGCTGCGAGAGCAGCATCCAAATGCCTGCACTTAAGGCACCTTTCAGACACCTGAAACAATCAGCTCTTAACAATTTTTCCTTTGAATTATAATTAAAAAAATAAAAGTGTTTAACCCATATTTTCTGAGGCAAGAACACAACCAACTTGCCACAACTATTAATAGCAGAACGACAGCAGTATGTATGAGTAAGAGATAATGATTTCCAGAATAATTAGAAGACATTCAGAAAGAAGGAATAACAGAGCATTATAATAAGAGTCATTCAAACCCTCCATGCAGTCACTATTTTGCAAGACAACTGTAAAATTATTAGTCTTATAATTGTTGCATCACTACTATGTAAAACAAGTATTCATTTTCGGTTTGGAGAAAACATACGTGCAGCCTGGTGCCCTTCCAAGGAAATAACTGGGAAAAACTATTAATCTGTTAAATCTTTCACTGCTTGAAATGTGCAAGACCACCCCACAGGGAAAGGATTCCCCCAGGATCCCTCATGGGACATCTACAGGATGACCACAACACCAGGAGGGAGGAGAACAGCACTGCTGGGAATGGGGAGAACAAAGCTCTAACAGAAATTATTAAAACCACAACTTTTTAAAGTTTCATGGTATAAACATAGACTACTTCCTGCTTAGGAATACATGTAACTGCTCTCAGCAGGATTCTGACTAACAAGGGTCAACTACACAAAGAGGACTACAGACAGACAAAATAAAACAATCACAGAGTCACTTAGGTTGTGAAAGACTTATGAGATCAACAAGTCCAACCACCAACCTGACCTATCAAGGCCCATCACTGAACCACACTCCTTAGTACCACGTCCACAAAGTGATCCTCTTAAATTTGAAGTTAGCTATACTTCACAGTCCAGATAACAGCATCCTAACATTTTGTCAGGCAAAATTAAAGCTGAAAAAATCCGAAATCTCAGAGGCAATCTAGCTTTGCTCAGACTGCATTCAGTAGTTTTCTCCTTTACCTAATAAATAAATAGAAAAACACTCTGCATTATCAGTATGCAAATTCCTTTTATTTCTCATTATTTCCATTGCTTCATCAGTCACTGAAGGAATATAAAATACAAGCATGGTGTAAAGTGTTCTGGTGGACACTAAACAGAGCCACTCCTCTGCTAATAGAAGTTTTTCTAAAATGTCACAGCTCCTCAGGCTCTGCTGGGTGCATGCTCCTGTGAATGAAGTGACAAGGTCACTGCCAGCCTCTGAGCCATCTGCAGCCCTGCAATCACCTCGTTTCTTACCACAATTAACACTTCCGCTGCTGATTTCTCATGAAAAAATCACCATGTGACAAAAAACAGAGGAATAAAATTCATTTGTATGAACCTTTTCTCAACATTTTAAATCACAAGAGCATCTTCAAATGCTAAGAAGGAATAAAAAGACTCAAGAACAAAGTACTTAAAAACCAATAATATTTTTGGAACCAGGACAAGACAGTAGTACCTGTATTTAACATATTCTGTGCTAAGAAATGGAGGCCTATGCTCAGTAAAAACATGTACACTCTGAATTTAAATCACAATTGAAATAACTGAAGATTGATCATCAAGAATATAGTGGAATGCCCAAAGGGTTGGGCCATGGTTCAATGACACAAGGAGTTGGTGGCAAAGACAGCACATGGAATTCCCACCTGCCACGCACTGCTACGTGCCCTACCACCAAACACTTCTGGGATCGGGTCATGAACCAGAACCCAACGTTGCTAAAAAGATACTTTCCAGAGCAGAGGTTCACAAACAGCTACACTGGTCCTAACTGAAGATGATACTGGGGCTATGTGAGCACAGAAGGTGACAACTTTGTCAGAAATGCTGTCAGAAAAGAACAGCTCTCTGTTGATGAAGATGGGATAATTGTCAAGAACATTCATTCAATTGTTTACTTGTGGGCAAAAAGCAGTGATGTAAATATGTTTAATTTTCCTAGATCCTTTTAATAACACAGGGAATTATAAACTGATGTATCCATATCTTTAGATAATTGCTTTCCTAGAACACACAGCCATTAAAAAAATTCCAACCTCCTTACAGGCTATGCTTGTAGCTCATAAGAAGATTCTCTGGGCCAGAAGGCCAATTTTTACCTACATCAAATCCCAACTTAAACTAACCACCCAGATATGCAGGTCCCCCTACCAGTCCCCAGACAAATCCTATCCCTTGCACTACTCACCCAGATGTCACCCACCAAAATTAGCAACACCAGCTTTGTGTAACACAAGTACGCACAGATTCACTACCCATTCACTTACCACTCTCATCAAGTAAGTCCTCCTCATCATCCCCATCATTGTCCTCCTCCATCGCCTCCTCATCTTCCTCCTCCTCCTCTTCCATATCCTCCTGCTCCAAGTCCGGGTCCAGGTCCGGATCACTCCCTGAGATTGACTCGTCTGACATGACTCCCAGCGGTGCTCCTTGTGCATTACCTGCTCATGTTCTACCGTGAGGCAGCCCTGTGACAACAGAAAACAAAGAGGTACGTAAGGAGCCCCGAAAATCCCAACCTCTGAGCACCACAGCTCCAAATGTTAGTACTGCTACCACATGGAAAAGCCTGGACGTCCTAGTAATCTTTTAAATAACAGTTACATCAGACTACACAAAACCCTGTACAGAAGGCAGATGCCATAAGCAATGTACCATGGTGCAGGCCCAGCCTTCTAGAATCAATATACCAACCAATCATTCAGAAAGCATCTCTTTCTTGGTATCTTTGATATGTACGCAGCAGGAGGGCTCTGGTATTTATGTCTGATTATACAAAGATGCAAAAATAAATACGTTATGTGAACAATTTCAGAATGCTGCAGTCCAGACAAGAAACACAGGAAAAAAAAAGGATCAGGCTCAGAATTTCTCACTGCTGTGCTACGTTGATCCCCGTGCACTGCAAGCATCACTGCAGGATGCAGGTGGCAAGCACCTCATGTCCCAGCCATCCCCACTGCTGCCCAGAGCCTGCAGCCACCTCTCAGCCACCAGAGCAGGGACAGCATTACCTTAATTACAGTACAGGCAGAAAACAACAGGATCCCATTTGTAAAGGCTGTATGCTCCTCTGTAAAGGGGGGCAAGAAGAAAAGCAAAGATAAAGGAGGGATGGATTAGTGGGAATTGCAGTCACAAGTTTATCCAGATCGCACACTGCTGTTTCTGGACAGTGATGCCTATCTGGGTACTCCTCCATGCACAATTATCATGGATGAATGAGAAGAAGTACACTCTTAAAAGGAAAATAAAGAAAGCATCACAAGGAATGTAAAGCAAAGGATGCTGGAAGTCTGAAGGTTAAAGACAACTCAAGGCTCCCGGAGCAAGGCTGCAAATCTGACACGTATGCTGAATTATTCTAGCTGAAGTCATCAGTTTCTGCTTTGCCTCTCTCAGCTTCTCAATAACACTGAAAAGCATGCATGAGAAAGAAGAAAATAAACACAAGGGAGGAGCAGGCTTTGGGGGGATTCACACTGAAATAAGAAGTGTTTCACTACGAAGCCCTGGTAGCACTCCACCACCAGGCAGACAGCTGAAGTCCCTACTCTTACACATGCGGTACAAAACAAGCACTGCAGACATGAAGCAATCAGAAGTTTCCTAAATTCGATGCATGTTTCAAAACAGTAGCTTAGTTTTGCTTTCCAAAAGCTTTGGTGTCCCCTCACAGCTGATACAGAGCCCTATGGAAAACAAACATTTTGCTCTTAGAAACAGCTGGGGTTGTACTCAAACCTACCATTACAAGGCTGCATGCATTCCTGTGCCACTGAGGAGATGGGCAGTGGTGCTGTATTGGTGTCTTTCTATTGGCTACCTGGGATTTCAAGGGAATTACCCATCCCACAGTGCCCACAGCGTACCACGTGTGAATGCATCCTCTGCCTTATTCAGAGAGGATAAAAGATCTGTTCTGTTTATCCCCCTCCAGGAAGCCAAGCCATCCAATCAGCTGAACATCAAATTAGAATCCAGACAGCTTCTCTCATCCACCATATCCTGTCTTTTGGCAGAGATATGAATAGTGTAGCAGCTTTTGGGCTTTGCTTTTGAAGGTAGAACACTTTGGATGGTGAGTGCCATGCAGTGACAATGAGTGAGGCCCGGCTACAGCCTAGGAAGCTTCACAGGCTGACGAGTTCAGACACACTCCTGCTCTCTTGGTGTTTCTCCTTCTCTGCACAGCATTAAAAGCACCATTTCTTCTGTCTGAAGTTGAGAGAGGAACACGGAAGGTTTAACGCTAATACCGCTGCGGTGCTGAGGAGTAAAGAGGATTCCATCACCTCCCCAACCTCCAGCCAGGTCCAGTATCTGGGACTCATCAAGATTTGTCCTCAAAGCCTGTTTTGCAACCAAGACATCAGTGGGCACCGTGGCGACTGGCCACAGAATGGAGCACAGCAGCAGATCGCAGAGGGATTTGTACAGGCAGTTTAATAAAAACAGGTATTTCAAAGTCAGCATTGCATAAAGCTCTTTGCTTTCAGCTGCATCGTCAGATTTTATAGTATTAACCATTTCCCCTCCCCTCCCTTCTTTTCTTGTTTTTCTTTTATTGTTTGTGGCCTCAAGACTCCTCTTACACACACAGAGCACATTAGCACTTCAAACTGGGAGCAGCCCTAGGCTCTTTGGGGTGAGGAATTCATCTTTCTGCTGGGTCACGTGCTAGCATGGTTTGAATCATAGAATCACAGAATGGCATGGGTTGAAAAGGACCACAATGAGCATCTTGTTCCAACCCCCTGCTGTGTGCAGGTCACCAACCAGCAGCCCAGGCTGCACAGAGCCACATCCAGCCTGGCCTTGAATGCCTCCAGGGATGGGGCATCCACAGCCTCCTTGGGTTGTGCAACCTGTTCCAGTGCCTCACCACCCTCTGAGTGAAAAGTTTGGGTACTTCCTAGGCAGCCCTCAGCCAAAGATAAAGCACATGTGGATCGCTGACAGTGTGATTTTAACATATTGTATAAGATTAAAAACCTTTTAACAGTTTGCAGGTAACATCACAACCTAGTAGGAAATAAACCTGAGCCAGCAGTGTTACTGGCCAATACTAGCCTAGCAGATCCATCTTCTTATTATTTACTTTTGAACCAAACTGGATGTAAAGCCATCCTCAGATGATTATTTTGTTTACAGCCCCTTCCCCCTTTGCAGCAATTGAGTTCTCAGCTGTGACTCACAGATGCCTGGTGGCCACACACTGCTCGCTGGAAAGGAAGGAAGCAATTCTCCTTTTCCTCTTGTTCAAACTGCAATGGAATACAGTAACAGCAAAGAAAGGCAAGGAGCTGTAGAATCACAAAGGGGAGGGCATCTGCTTGGTGCAGAGCACCCCTCCGGGGATGGCAGGTACACCTCTCCCATTCATGTGGCACACCCAGCCTGAACCCACATTCAATGCAAGCATTAAGGAGCCCACTGTGATTTACGGGAAGCAGAAACTGAGAGAAACAGTGTCTTAGAAAACTCTCCCATCCATCAGTTTCGGGAGACCTGCAAGTCTTGCCCTCTAGGATAAAATCTTTCTTCCTGCAAAGCATGGCAATGCTGAACACAGCACGAAACTGCATGTTCCCCGACAACAAAAGCCTCTCTCGAGAAAGGGTGGGAGAAAGCGGGGAAAAAAAAGAAGAGACAAAGAAAAGGGAGAGCTAATCCTTCCCTTCTGCTGACACGAC